AGAGGAGAAACAATAATGTAAAGTATGTGGAAAATAATGTGTTTTCTGAACCTTAAACCACATAAAAACATTTCATTACACCAAATACACAAAATAATGTTCTTTTTAGCAGCATCATATGACCCCTTTAAATGAGATATTTGAAAAAGAACTCTGATCAAAATTATAAACATTTGCATTAGCTAATCAATGAACAATACCGTTACCTTTTAGATTGTCTTAATAGCACTAAGTTATTAGGTTAATGATATTTGTTAAAATACATTTTAACATTTAAAGTTGTATAAATTGAAACATTAATGTGTTATGAACATGATTTAACAAAGAACAATAGTTTATTTATAAATTAACATTCATCTAGACTAATAAAATAGTCGAATGTTGAAAAAAAATAAATCTTTCTTAACATTTAAATTGTAGTTTTGGAAAGAATTTCAAATGTAGGCCCAATCTATATTTATATGTGTCCACAAAATTAATGTAAAGCATTTGTGCAGAAGCTTTTGATGAAAAGGATCATGTGTCCATTCTGCAAGATATTTTGAGAGATTTTTGGGTGAACTATTCCTTTAAATGTCAGGTTGTTTTTCACCAAAATGATTAATGCATTTGAAAAATAATAAGCAAGCTGCACTTTTTTGCTAACACTTTTGAAGGATCATCAGAAGCATAAATCTGTCTATTATAAGAAAATATATTGGCAAATTCAACAAATCGTTTGTTCAAAATGAGTATTAACTGACTCCACCTACTGGACTGGAGTGTGTAGTGCTGAATGGTGCACAGGAGAACATGGACTAATGTCACCATCAGTGTTGGAAATGTTGAGTTCTACTATAAGGTTAACCCCGCCTGGTTTAAATGTTTGAAAATGATTAAAGTCTCCATGATAACAAAATTGAAGTTTTTAGTTTTTTAGTATGAAAAGCTAGTGTGCTCCAGAACAATGACAAAATTCGCACTTCGGCTTTTCATCAAACATTCTGTCCAATCAGATGCTCTCTAGAACCCGAAGCGTCCCGCCCCCTACACTATAAATAGACGCTTAAACTGCAGCTGAAATCGGTCACTTGTTCACAGAATTAGTATTTTGTGTATGCTGAATGGCACGTAGTGCACTGCACTATATAGGGATATGGAAGGTTAACCTTACAGTAGTACTCAACACTGATTACACTCACAATCCTTCATCACTTGAATTAAGATCACAGTAATTTCATTTTAAAGCATAGTGACCACAAAATCAGACTTTAGCACCTCTTTTTACTTTGAGATCGTTCTGAGCTTAAATACAGATTTAAAGGGGTCATATAATGCTACATGCACTTTTACAAGTTGTTTGAACTGAAATGTGTGTTGGCAGTGTGTGTACACAACCACCCTAAAATGATTTTAAAAAATCCACCCAGTGTTTTTTTGTTAATCTACTAAAATCTTTACCCCTTTCTCAAATCGAGCCGATCTCAGATGCCTGTCTGTGTGACGTCCTGTGGGAGGGCACAATAGTTTGATTGACAGTAGCGTTTCAGCACAGACTGGACTGGTGTCTTACCTTAG